TATGCAGAAGACACGCTCGAGTTCTGTGAGTAAGGTGCTGAAACATCGAGAAAAGCGCATGTTCCCTCACTCAGTATGTCGTCTGTTCCATTTCTACCTCCGCTATCTCCTGCGCCCATCCAGTATCTCATATCAGGGGCCAAGAAAGACAAGTTTGTTTTGCAATGTTGTTATCGCTCACTTTCTGAATGATTCGTCGTATTCAATTCGGATCCGTATCCAATCCCACGATGATTCTCTTTTTGATCGTGATCCTGGTGGATACTCCGTCTTCGCCACCATAACCTCTTCCGGTTTCGGAGGCTTTATAGCTGGTATTCGCGATTGAAAAAAGACGGGTTAGTCACACACACATACCTTGTAGTTACACGCTACTGTCAACCTCGACACGAGCAGAGCACAGACCATTTCAATCAGCATCTACCGAACAGAATGAGGCTGCCTGGCAGATTTCAAGGCTGAGGAAGAATGAGCTACACCCACATTTTGGACCCGCTAATGTTGATATCGAATTTCACCTATCTTATCATGAGAAATCTACAACATATATTTCATTGAGTCCGTCTGTTGATGTGTCGATGTATTTGTTAGGATGTAGGCGTTCTGTTAGTGTGGGTTATGTGCGTATGTATTATTGGAAATTCACGACTTGTGTTTCCCTTGGCACAGAACGTTGATGCTTGAAGGGGATAAATGCAACAGATAAAAGCATAGATGGTGGTTGGTGGCAGAAAGTGATAGCTGTTATGGCGTAAAAAGAGCCACAGAGTCGGTCGAGCTATTCGTGTCAACAGTATAGCATTGATTTCATGGTGGTAATGTGAGATCTAACATGTAGATGTGGTGATAATGGCTGACAATAGAAGTTGACATTCAGACCCTGGATCAATTCCCACTCTCGTATGGAGGGAAACAGATGTAGGATACAGGAAAAAGCCGTCGTGCAGCCTTCGTGATTTTCCAAATTTTATTTTATCACCCTTTCATGAGCATTAAATAGGGAAGAAACAATTTTAATGCACCATATTTTGATAATGTTTCTTTGACTTCCAGGTGTTCCATTGAAAAGACAAACCAATGAAAGAGTGAAAAGCGACCAGCCTAGCCCAGGACAACAAGCAAAGTTTAGTGGAAATGGTCATAAACAATGCAAAAAAAGGATAAAGGGTAATGTCGTTTGGATTTATCAACTCGTTTCGAAATATGCCCATGCATTTACCTTCCATTTCGAACTGTAGTGGCGCCTTAAGTGCTTATGCGGCCCACACAATGCACTGCGATGGATAACCACTGCACAAGTTAGCGTTCTATTCCCTGGGAGAATCTATAATAAACCAAGATAATCCACTTCGGAGGGAATGATGGCTCGATTGGGCGTCCATCCGAGATTTGGTCATCACGTGATGCATTATGATAATGCACGACTTGACGCTATCACATACTGTGTCGCTACTACGTGCGACCATAGACATTCTGCAGTGCACCGGTGAGATAGTGGCTTCGCCGCTCCTCGCACACTTCAAATGGAGGAAAGTGCTGGAAGCGCGGGAGAATTATTGAGCGAGCCCCGCACTAATCAAAGGACCATTCGTTCGTCCGTGCGCCGGCTTCGCCTCGTCCCGCGGAACGCTGACGTCGCAACACTGTCGTCAGTATAAACTCATTGCCGTCAGCATGGTAGATCGGATGCACTACATCGTACGTCTAATTTTAGTCCTCTGTTTTACCGACCATCTCTGCTTCCAATCTGTTGTCTCACCTCCTGCCTCACCTCATTCATACTTCACATATTTGTCGCACTCATTTGTCAAATGTCGGATATAGCGTTACATGAATTTGTGAAGATAATTTGTGTCCCTATACTATTCTTGATATCGCAGGATTACTTTCGTCGTTAACTCTTCAACTCTTGCACCATAGCCGTGGTCTCTGAGTTCCCCCCGCCGATGCGTACGTCCTCGGAATCCGAGGCCGCTACATATGTTGCATCCACTACGTAAGCCTTTAGCAGTCAATCAAGGAAGAATGCATCACTCAAAAAAACAGAGGAAGGAAGAAATGAAGAAAGGGGTTAGCTAATTCCAGAAGACAGACACAGTGGAGTTATAAGATCTGACTGAGTGTTCAATATTCAAGACGGCTTTCATTTCGGCGAAGTGTGACGGTGAAAACCACCAATATTTTTGAGGTGGGAGGTGGAGTGGCTCATTGAGTCTTTCGGAGTTTTCGGAGTGGAAAAAACGGTGATAAAGTCGACTGATTTTTAAATGGAATTTGGACCTCGGTCGAGAGCCATTTGACGAGTGTATCAAGTGCGAATCTTCTACTCAAAAGCAGTAGCAATGTGCATGACGCGCAAAAATGACTGTGGTAAGTTGAAAAGTGGAAACAATTGTTAGGTAAATTAATTGAAGTTTATTTTTCCAACCAATTTTCTCGTTCACTGTTTATGTTTCGCCACTTGTGGGACAGTGAAAATACGTGCATTGATTTTGTCCTTGTTCGCGAAAGCTTTCTTAGCACTGTCTCCCTCGAACTGCAAACGAATTTACAGATACTCAGAAACCGATGTGTCTTATCCTACAGTGTGTTTCAAAAGTATGTGCACACCCAACATTTTGTTTTTGGGATACCATTGCTTTCTGTAACCTGTGATCTTTACCATTGAATT